TTAGTCTTTCTAACAGGTCAAGATGAGATAGAAACCTGTCAAGAAGTTTTGCAAGATCGCGTAAAACGGCTTGGCTCAAAGATACGTGAACTAGTTATAATACCTGTATACGCAAATCTACCCAGTGACATGCAGGCGAAAATTTTTGAACCAACGCCGCCAAATGCCAGGAAAGTAGTATTGGCAACTAATATAGCGGAAACTTCACTAACAATTGACAACATTATCTATGTGATCGATCCGGGATTTGCAAAGCAAAATAATTTTAATTCCCGCACTGGCATGGAATCGTTGATGGTCGTACCAATTTCTAAGGCGTCGGCGAATCAGCGAGCTGGACGTGCTGGGCGCACCGCTCCTGGCAAATGCTTTCGTCTTTATACAGCTTGGGCTTATAAGCATGAATTGGAAGATAACACTGTGCCTGAAATTCAGCGCATAAATCTTGGAAATGCGGTGCTAATGCTAAAGGCACTCGGTATAAATGATCTGATACACTTTGACTTCTTAGACCCTCCTCCACATGAAACGCTGGTTTTAGCCTTGGAACAGCTCTACGCACTGGGTGCTTTAAATCATCATGGCGAACTGACGAAATTGGGTAGACGAATGGCAGAGTTTCCAGTGGATCCCATGATGGGGAAAATGCTATTGGCGAGCGAGAAGTAATTAGTAAATGTAAAGGCTTTACAAATATTTTTAAAATACTGTATTTTTAGGTATAAGTGCTCGGAAGAATTGGTGTCCATAGCTGCAATGTTATCTGTAAACAGCGCGATTTTCTACCGACCAAAAGACAAAATTATTCATGCAGATACTGCTCGAAAGAATTTCGACCACATGCATGGTGATCATCTAAGTCTGCTGCAGGTCTACAATCAATGGGTTGATACCGATTATAGCACACAATGGTGTTACGAGAATTTCATTCAGTATCGCTCCATGAAACGAGCTCGCGATGTTCGTGAACAATTGGTGGGTTTGATGCAACGTGTTGAAATCGATATAGTTTCCTGCTTGCCTGAGACAGTAAATGTAAGAAAAGCCATAACAGCTGGATACTTCTATCATGTTGCAAAATTGTCTAAAAATGGCAATTATAAAACCGTAAAACACAATCAAACTGTAATGATTCATCCAAATTCGTCGCTTTTTGAAGAACTGCCAAGATGGGTGCTGTACCATGAATTAGTGTTTACAACGAAAGAGTATATGCGTCAGGTGATCGAAATCGATAGTAAGTGGCTGTTGGAAGTGGCGCCGCACTACTATAAAGCAAAGGAACTTGAAGATTCGACGAATAAGAAGATGCCCAAAGTTACAGGCCGTGCAATAATGACGGATTAAAAATACGATTTCTATAAAAAAATATATAAGCCAAAAAAAGCTGCACAAACCCAGCTGAAGAAATTTTACTTAAACTACAGCAAATAGCAGCAAGGGATAATCGCTAATCTAGGCGCATAACCACCGGACATCGAAGGGGCGGAGCTTCATCATAAAAAAGAAATTAAAAATGCGTGCCAAGTCTTGCATTTCCAATAATAACGATAAATGTGTATGTTCCAGGCAATAATTTAAAATATTTGTGAAACTTATCGTTTTGCGCTAAAATACAACAATGTGTGTAAAATTCGTTGTCATTGCTTCTGTTTTGAATATCATATTCGTGCCTGCCGGTGGAAAAAATAGGTAAATTTGCATTTATTTTCAAGAAAACATATCAGTTAAAATATATTTCTTTCCAGAGCGACATACGGACAAGTAAGATGATAAATTTGTATGATGAATATCGCGGAAAAACTTTTGTATCAAAATTTCTATTCTAATTTGCATTTGAATTATGATATCAACAGGGATGATTTGGGGCGTATTTTTTGAAGATAATTTTCTTATAAATATTGAGATTGTTGATTTATTTTAGAATTAAAAAAGGTAGTTTATATTAAAAAATATATTTACACTAGCAGTATGTAAATTACTTTTATTCCGAATTGAAACGATTTTAATGAATATTCATGGTTACCATTAATAGTAGTATGACAGTTAGATCTAAATGCATATTTGACAAGAAAGATAGAATACAAGATTGCGCCGTCCTGGCGGCGATGACATATCTGTACAAAAAGTAATAAAAGTCGAATTGGATGTTGAAAGAAAATGTGAGAACAGCAAATTTTCTTAATAATAAATTTTTCGATAAGGAACGTGTTTTGATTGTGCTAATTTATAATAGCCTTATTCATAAACAATAAAGTAGCTTAAAAAAGGCTTATAAATTGAAAAATGTTTGTAAACGGCAATTTAAAAAGCTTTTTAAAATTTTTATTTTTTATTAATAAGGCAATAAAAATATGTGATTTACAATAACTTTTAACAAAGGAAATACGAAATAAGGTGATTTTTGCGGAAGTGGGTATTAGTGAATTTCAGTGCATTTAAAGTTTCTGAGGTTTCGTTTACCTTTAGATCAGAATTGTCAAAATTGAGAAATTCAAAGTAGCGATACAATAATCATAGAAAAGAAGATTGCGCCCTGCTGTGATGATGAGTAAATTTACCACAATGAGGAAGAATATAACAATTAAGTGAAAAGATTTTGTTTTTACAAATTAAAGGAGCAGTAACGCGTTTCAAGAACGATATTTCAGACAAATCGTTAATGAACAACTATTTTTCCTTCCCGTCTGCTTTGGTTTTGGCAAAAAAGTTGATAAGCTCAGGACGGCGATCAAGTCATTTCAACCATAAAATAATATTATTTGCAAGAACCATTCACTAAAATTGTAACTAACTTTTTATTATTTATTAATTCCTTTTTGATATTCAGCAATAACAAGATGGAAAAAAATTATAAACCAAAATTAGTAATATTTTTATGAATGTAGTTATAAAAGTTCACAGAGGAAACGCCGGAAAACAATGTATTGGCAACAACATAAAATTTATGGCAATTTAGATGTCAACAGAATAATAACTACGATAAAAAAGCATGAGAGAAGTGTGCGAGAAACGGTCAACAAATTTCTTATAAAATATTTTGATTTTTGCTGGGTGTAAATGAAAACTCAATGAGTATTAAGGAAAAGAAAAATTTGAAAATAATAAACAGAAAAAGAGATGGGTACACAAAAACTTTAGTTAAATGTTTTTCCCAAATTCTTAAAAAGTAAGCAAATCGATTTTTTTAATGTTACTTTACATCTATTTTCTTTTTTATGAATAAGGTCATAAGCATGTACCGTTTTTATAAATAAATCTTATAGCAATATGCTATATATTTATTTATACACTTTTTGGCTGGCGAAATATGTAATTTTTCAACTTAATAGAAAAGCGTATTTAACCACATTACTTTTTTTTAATATTGAATGGCGCAACACAACAACTCTTTTTGTTGCACGAAACCCTTGAACACGTGGCTGTCATCTATTTCTTCTGTTTCGACATTTCGGTATTTTGCATTTCTTTCATTTTGACGTCATTCGCATTGTCAGATTTTTGAAATTCGTTTTGGTTCGACATTCTGCTATTTCATAATTCTTTCATTCTCATGTCATCCATCTTCCATTTCTTACCTTCCATTGCCGTTCGCATCGTCGAACGTGCCTGTCAAACACTGCCGCCATCATGCTTTTCAGTTTGGCAGGCACGTCCGCTGTTTGGCAGGCACGTCCGCTGTTAGAAAGAGAATAGACAAAAAGGGGCATAGGATTCCATACTTGTAAGTATATACGATGCTTGATAGTATCTGAAAAACTAATTAATAATCCCTGATATTTTGCTTTTTTTGACGAAAAAAATTTAAATAATTCAAATTTTAACAGAGGAATAATAAAAAATTTGGATTTTTCTCTAAATTTTTTTATTTGGTATGAACTGCCTGTTTTGTTTTACAAAAAAGGAAGATACCAATGAAGTGGTGAAAATGCGCAAGGAGTTTTTGTATGAAATATGAGCAGTGTAGTATCGTGACTGAGAAGGGCTATTGAAATAAACGTTTACCAGGCGTGTATGGTGAAAGACGTTTATTTCTAAAATAGGATACATTTTACATTTCTTGGAATTTTGTACACTCAACTCATACTCATGATTCAATAATAGGTTCATTCCTTATCTTTTTGGACTAAAATCTGAAAAGTGTCAAAATGCCAGAGCGTAAGCAACATGCGCTCATTAAAAGAGAATAACAGGAAAAGTAAACGAACGCAAAAAACCAAATTTTTAGTCCAAAGAATGGCAACAACAAAACTAACGTCACATAAGAATGGAAATGTATGTACAAGAATGATTCAATAATTAAAGGTTTGCTCAATATTGACATTAGACTTTTGACACTCCCTTAGCTGCCTTACAAAAGCTTTGCACACACACACGAACCCACAAACAGTGCTTTGCTAAGGGAGCGGATTTTGTCAAGAGGGAGCGAGAAAACTGCTTTTTGAGCAAACCTTTTATTATTGAATCATGTGTACAAAACACATTCACACAAGCACAAGCACATAAACACTTACTATATCAATTATTTTTTGCCTCCTTCCGATTTCAATTCAGTTTTGTTTTACTTTTTAGATTATTCTCACTTTTTGCGTATTCTTTAATTTCNACAAAACACATTCACACAAGCACAAGCACATAAACACTTACTATATCAATTATTTTTTGCCTCCTTCCGATTTCAATTCAGTTTTGTTTTACTTTTTAGATTATTCTCACTTTTTGCGTATTCTTTAATTTCCGTTAATTTAAATTCAGTTGAGTTTGACACTTTTCAAGATTTTGCCAGCAAAAATTCTGACTAAATCAGACTACTTCGGACTGATTAGAGTCACTCTCACTGAGTGTTGCTCTCTCATTTTTGCTGTCATTTCCGAGTTAAGGAACGCTTTTTGGACTAAATCTGACTACTTCGGACTTTTTCTGACTATTTCTGGGAGATAAGGAACGCT